ACTGCTTGTGACCGGCTGCCAACTGGATTTGTTGAGGAACTGGTGAACTCTATTCACCACAACTCTAATTATATATATCCATCATCTGTTTTGTGAGGGTGATGCTCTTTAACAGTTTATTTTATGCTGAGAAATGTAGATAAAGCTGACAGAATTATGCATACTTCATATTTCATGTACATTCTTTCTTCTTCAGGTCAAAAGTTGACCAAATACATGAAATTGTGACTGGGAATCCTACTGTTATTAAAATGGTGGTAAGTTTCAACCGTGGTGCCCGGGGTCAGAATGCCCTGAGGCAGATCCTGGCACCGGTTGTGAAGGAAATCATTGATGACAAATCACTCAATATCAAAACTGATCCGGTGGATATTTACAAGTCTTGGGTTAACCAGATGGAATCTCAAACTGGCGAGGCCAGGTATGGGAACTGTTGCTACTGTGTTTTTTTCTAAACGTTGCTCAGCTGCTTGGCACTGTTAGGTTAATCATTCTAAACCATCCTTGGCTTCACTGCATGCATCTGTCTAGCTGCTACCGGTTTTTCCATCTCCTCAAGACTGCTTTTATCTGAGAGTTCTAAAGATCATGTTCTGGCAGTGGTGCTGAGGGTATTGAAAGGGAATCTCATTAGGAGATGGAAGAAGAAAGGCTCTTTGGTGTTTGCCTATGTTGACTTGATAATTAACTATAATATGCCCTCTAACCTATAAGAAATCATGGTAAGAAAAAAAGTATTTGGGAATTGGTTCTGTTCATGTCGTATGTAGCCTGTGCAAACTTAGGTGCTACTTGCAAGCCAACAAAACCTCTTTTGCTGGAGGAGAAGCATGACATAGCAGTTCTTTCAGTCCTAAAATCTTTCTAATTAATATTAGCCACTGATGACAATTGGATTGTGCTAGATGGTTTTGTGTCATTCTGGTTTCTCTTTCTTCCAGTGCATGTGATTTGCTAGAACTTGACATTTCTATTGTGGTGTTTGGTGTTTGTTTATTTTTTTAACATACTTTAAAAAAAAAGATAAAAAGAAAACAAAAGCAACAGGCAGATTAGTGAGTTTCCCCATTCAAAGTAATCTGCAGTCATATATCTTGCCATACGCCTTGTTCAAAATTCTGGGTGTGTTAAAAATGTAGGCGAAGATGGGCATTCAGGTCCTTTTCCTTACATAAGATTTAGGAGACGCTTTTACGAATTATCTGCTTCATCTGTCTGTTTTCACTGGAATACTGTGCAGTAATTTCAGCTGATGGAGAAAACGTAACTACTCATTTGGTGCTGCTTCCCGCCAATAGCATGTTATTTTGATTTTTATGGATACTGTTCTAGGTTCTGGCCTGTGCCCAAACTTCTATCATCTTAATGTTCAAATGTGTAGCTTGTTTTTTCAGCAGTTTATTTGCAGCCTGAAGTACCACTATGTGTCACAGGTGGCACTTTTTTGCCCAGTGTTCATGCTGTAAAAAAGATACAGTTTTGAGTTAGCTGGACCTTTTCTCATAGTGGTCATTGTAAGGGAGAGTAGAGGAAATGAAAGCAAGAAGTCTTCAGCTCTTCCAGTGCCTAAAAGTTGAATTGAAGACAATGCATAGCTCTTGGCAGCCAAGTGAATATAAGCTTGTTTTCGTGTTGAGCTAAATTCTTGAAATATGCTAGCCAGAGGACTATTCACCTTCGCATGTTTAACTTTTTCAAATAGCAAACTGCCGTACGATGTTACACCTGAACAAGCTCTAAATCATGAAGAGGTGAGGACGCGCCTGGATGCCTCAATCCGAAACATGAGGACAGTGACAGACAAGTTCCTGTCTGCCATTGTTAGTTCAGTGGACAAAATCCCGTGAGTCTGGTGTACCACAGTGTTATCCCTGAGAAGTTTTTGGTGGGTTCATGCCTGCAGCAGTCTTATTTGCCCTTTTCTTTCTCTTGAAGTTATGGAATGCGTTTCATTGCCAAGGTACTGAAAGACTCCCTACATGAGAAATTTCCTGATGCTGGCGAGGATGAGCTTCTGAAGGTGAGGTTCTGAACACCTTTGTGAATAATTGTTAGCCAAATTGGCTGTGGCAAGGACTTCTTATTCTTCTCCTTTGTTGGGTGTATGTGTGGCAAGGAGTACATGTAAACATATATAAAGCTTATTTATTTACTTCTACAGATAGAAAATGTTTCACATTGGGCTTTTGATTGTTAGCTTCGTATACGTCACCTGTGATGTAATACATTGTTCAGAAGGAGGTATTCTGTTGCTTCTGCTTTGCTTTTAATGTCTTGGACGTTTGGTCCTTTAGGTTGCTTGACTTGAGGTACTCTTCTTCCTAGAAAGTCAACTTTGGTTTTGCTGGTATGATCACAGGCAGCTGCTCCTTTCTTAAAGAGACAATGTCAAGTTAAAAAGTCTGTATGCAAAATTCTGATATTCCTAATTCCTCTATCTGTAACACTCTAGGATATTTTGACAGCGACACATAGAGAGTCACTTTCCATGATGTCTATAGTCAGCTTTTTATTTTGCATTTCAGTAAGTTTGGAGAACTAAACGGATCCGAATAGTAGGCATTTTTAGATGAGTATAGCTTTTGGGTTTTCATTGAAATTTCTTTGTTTTTATGGCTTTTGGTAATTGTGAAGGCCTTTATGTCCATGAATAATTTGCTTGTTAATAAAGCAAAGTTTGGATCTTGGAATACTTGACAACGTCTCTTTAAACTTCTCTGCCTCTGCTTCATTACAAAATAATTACCAATCTGAATGCTGTTTTCTTCTCTCTTCTAGTTCTGTGCTTTCCCATTCTGAGACATCGATTCTTTCTATGCAGGTGAATTGATTTCTTCCATCTGTAAATTTAGGTGGAAAACACTGTTTTTCGTTAATCCTTGTGGAAACAATGTAACTGTCCACATGAAAGTCTAAACTATAGTTGCATGCAACGACTACTAGTAGATTTTTTTAGCAAACAAAGCTACCCATATAATATACTGTTGTTGTTCTCCAGCAAGTTTGGAAGTTATTAATACAGTTTCTTTCACAGATGTGGTTTTTTTTATTACTGGTAGTAAACAGCTTTGACCGTTGTCATCCCATGACATAATCTGTGAGAGTACAGCAGGGGATTGCATGAAACAGTTGTCAAAAACATGACCTCACTGAAAGAGGTTAATCATTTCTGGGGCTGCTCAGCAATGGCTGAGTTTTCAGCTGTTTGTTCAGACCCTGATGTCTTCTGTGCATTTAAGTCGCGTGGCAAACAGACGAAGCCAACATTCAGTGCAAATTTCTGTGAACCACCAGAAAATACTAGAGCGTGTAGTGTGAGAACTATCACATGTTGGGTTAATTCCTTTTCATTGCTGGAATTACTTTTGGCAAAATATCAAATACAGGTTACGAGTATATTTGTGAGCATAGGGATAATGAAACATCTTTATTTTTTGATTCCTCGAAGTTTATTGCTGCTCACATTTGACTAGGTAAATTGGATTCTTTTAAGTGTCAAATGCCATTCATCTTCTGTACTTCTGATTTTATTACCTCTGGTTCAAAATGGTTTCTCAGTTATTCTTGCTAACTTTTAACTGGGGGTCTGTGCCTGAAAATGTTGCTGGCTTATTGAAGAATTATTCTGAAAGAGAAAAGGGCTTTGGAGAAGGAGTGGACAGCAGTTTCCTTGCTTTAGCTACTTGGTGTGCCATGCTTCCTCACCATTTTTGCTTTGTCGGAGATAGCGGCCAATTCTGCACGCTTCGCTAATAATTATCTCTTGTTCCATATTGAGACTGCATTACTGGGTTCCTCTATACCATGATCATTCTGCCCTCTGTTACGCTAACTCAATTATGTTTAATTCTCCTGACAGATTGTCTCATGCTCATATGAGTAGTCTGTTGTTAGCTTGTAATATCTCCTGTCTGTACATTTTTATAAGTTAAAGTTTTAAATCTTTACGTGTAGGAATATCTGCTGCTGTATTGTCCTGTGACTAGTAGTGCTCATTCTTCTCGCTTTGTGTTGACCATCCTATTGCATCTTAAATGATTATTTGATTTTTTAAAATTTTTTAAATATTTTTTTTTTTTTACATTGTGGATTCTTTGGGATAGGATGTGTTGGTATACAGCAGCACAGCAGAACCTTTATTTTGGAAGGAGCCTCTGGCTTAAGAAAATCATTTGTCAAAGCACGGTCAGAGTAGTTTCCATAAAATTCAGTTTGGTCCTCTACCATTTTTCTTGATGCATTTCTTCTCTACTCAACTTTTCCCAGATTGTTGGCAACATACTCTATTATCGCTACATGAATCCAGCCATTGTTGCACCAGATGCGTTTGACATCATTGATCTTTCAGCTGGAGGTCAGCTGACCACGGATCAACGCAGAAACCTCGGTTCCATAGCAAAGATGTTGCAGCATGCTGCATCCAATAAGATGTTCATGGGAGACAATGCACACCTAAGCATCATTAATGAATACCTATCACAGTCATACCAGAAATTCAGGTAGAAGACCGTAGCTAATTAAGTTGAGAAGTCTGGTGGAGAGTAACATTGCAAGTAAAAAGGGATAATAATAAATTCTAAATATGATAAATTTTATCTCTGTCAAATATACAGTCTGTTGAAAATAAGAGATTGCACTCCAGACTGCCATAAGCATCAGTGACAATGGCAGATAAAATGCGTACCTGGAACTTAGGAATGATATGTTGTATGTTAATGAGGTTGTGAAGTCAAGTATTTTGACTTATGAATTTCCAGAATAAAGGTTGCTTTTGCACATGTTTATTGTGATACTTTAGATGTGGACAACTAGAATGGACATAGATTCTTCTGTCCCATATGAACTCTGGCTCCACATGAAAAGCCAGTGGTGCTCAGGAGTAAAGCGAGTTGGCATTTAGGTGTTCATATAGTTGAAGTAAGCTTTTGTTCAAGAATGTTATACCTCTTGTGTTTCGGAAGAAAATGAGAGATTGCTGGGAGCAAGGGGTGTTACTGCAGTGGAGGCAGGATGGTGTGTGAACAAGGTCACCGGAGCCATAGATCAGTCTTGTTAATGCTGAAGATGAGCCAATGTCAATATGGCCCATATCAATAATTGAATTTACTAGGTTACCTCTGATGTGTTAAACTAGAGCTGACAAACTGTAGTATGCCGTAATGTACCATAGTTTAAAGAAGAGCAGCTATGCTTGGGGTTGTCATGGGAAGTTAATGTTCTTGATACATCACATGACTCTGAGAGTCATACTGATTCTTCTTTTTTCCTTTTTTCTGAAGACGTTTTTTTCAGGCTGCCTGTGAGGTTCCTGAATTGCAGGATAAGTTTAATATTGATGAATATTCTGACTTGGTGACTCTCACTAAACCAGTTATTTATATTTCTATTGGTGAAATCATCAATACGCACACTGTAAGTATACATCAATCACAGTTGCTCCTTGTAAGCGGTGCTTACAAAGAAAATGCTGCTTCTGGATGAAATGCAAAGTTACCAAATACAAGGCAGAAAGTTGTCTTTTGATTATAGTGCGCAAGAGCTTGCCAGTTTATGGAATTAAGTAATTTGCTTGTCTCTTCTCTAAGTGTCTTTTGGAAGTATTTGAGTATGTGATAATGGCACAGCTTTGTTGATATTGCTGCTTTGGAGTTCAGTGAAACCAGATCTTTTCCTAAAAGATACCAGCTCAAAGTAGTGTAATTTTACTATCTAGAAAAGGATGTATGATTAACAACATAAATGTTCTTTCTGTTCATCTAGTTGCTCTTAGACCATCAAGATGCAATTGCTCCTGAGCACAATGATCCAATTCACGAGCTGCTGGACGATCTTGGAGAGGTTCCTACAATTGAGTCCTTAATAGGTGATCTAGTTTATTGTATTTAAGAAATACGTGATATTGCCTTAAATGATTTGAAGTGCAGTAAAGAAACTTATGTAAGAAATCATCACAGGTTGTTTGGCAGGACATGCTGTAAGCAGGAGCAGCAGATTTGTTCCTGTGTATTCTCTCTGCAGAATTTGTTACCTTGAAAAAAACAGGGGTTCTTTCTTTTCTCCCCAACTCTCTCACCTCAACCCACTCCAGAAGTTTCTAGAAGACAGATATTTTGACATGTTTTCTTTGTTTCATTACGTTGGAGCCGTATCTATATGTGTGTGTGTGTCCTTGTCCCAGCTTGTTTGCAAAGATCTGTCCTCTGTTCTGGAGATCTGTATGCATTCCTTTCAGAGTGTGGTAATAAGTGTATTAAATGACGTGTGTCCCTACGGGCATCTTTGGCATATGGACAAATAACTTTTTTCCCTCTTTTAGAGTTTTTTTTCTATACATTAAGAATTTCATCCTCTTTCTTCTGGCTGGGAAAGGAAGGAACTGCCTTTACTGATCTGTGAAAGTTTTCTGAAAACGTGAGCCACGGTCCACTGTTGCAGGATATAAACAAACACTGGAAAGTTGCACAAGCCCCTCTCCCTTCCTTGGGTTCTATGTTGCAGCTATTTTAAGCATGAAATCTTGGGGGGCCGCGAACTTGTTGCAGTTGACTGCAAAATGCCTAGCTTGAACTCACTTGATGAGAAAGGTTGGAATGTTTTAAAGGAATGATTGCTAGCACACTTTCTTCTGAGCACTGGCAAAGAACAGAACCTAAGAAGTGTTATCTGAGCGAACCTAGACCTTGAGTTTAACTAGAACTTACCCTCCTTCCCCACTTAATTTCTCCTGTGTGCATTGTATCGATGTGGTTAATATGTCAGAATTAAAAAACGGGGGCGGCAGAGGAAGCATCCTTACAACTGTTCTGATGAAAGTTTGAACACAATTAGAGCAAGAAAATTTCCTTTTGTTAGCATAGCTTACTTTGTTTAATAGATTACGAGCTCAGTTGCCAACAAGGGTTTCACTCTTAGCTTGGAAAATTCATTCTAATGAGGCCACAGGCACAGAGGCATGGTCATATTTTTATTTATGATGTATTTTTGGCAGGTCAGCTTAGAGGGCGAGATGCTGAGATACTACGTGGAATATACATACATCTTTAAGGCATACCAACTAGTGATTTTGTGTTGCCTTTCTGGCCAGTGCATTCTGCCAGTTCTGTGAAGAAAAAGTCTGTAACATATTCAAGATGATGTTTTTAAAAGCTGTTTTTGGCTTTTGAAGTGTCCTTTTGACAGTATAGGAAACAGTGTCATTTTTCTGTCGTTTGTTACATAGAGAAAATTACAAAGCTCTAGCAGTCAAGAACATAAAGAATATGATCTAATCTATAAACTCTTTCTGCTTGGCAGGGGAAGGATCTGGCAATGTTAACGACCCCAACAGAGAAATGCTAGCAAAGACTGAGGTTTCTCTCACACTCACTAATAAATTTGACGTTCCTGGTGATGAGAACGCAGAGATGGATGCAAGGACAATTTTGTTGAAGTAAGTGAGGGGTAACTACCTCGTATGTTTCTCAAGACAATGAGGAACCTGCATTTTCACAATTATTCTGTATGTGAAAATGAGAGAATCGAAGTGTAATTTAAACAATCGTGGGACTGTTACTCCAAATACACTGAGCTTGTAGCCATGTCCTTTTAATGCTGTGGCTGTTGAATTTGTTCCTGCTAGTTCTTTGTCACTGTTGAATTTGTCATTCTTTAGAAGTCTATCTTGGGTGGTTCTGGAGGGGAAAAAATACCAGAAAAGAAAACTTTTGAGATGTGAGTGAGTGTGACAGCAGCAGTTGGATTTGCCTGCAGGTGAATAATTTGTGAAGATCATCTTAAATAATCCGTAGTGTTCATCGCAATTGAGTTTTAAGTCTGAAGTCTATTAATGTAAAATTCAGGTGAATCAATATTTGTGTTGCCTATATAATATCCTGTGTAAATGTTTTCAACAGAATATGTGCGACCCATGAAAAATTTAAGGGTAACTAAATGTCTAGCATAAGTGAATAACGCTCTGTTACTAAGTTTGCTAGTTCCTGCAGAATTAGCTTCTTTACACAACCTTTGAGCAGATTATGTTCGTATCCTGTTAGCAAAGCAGGAGATGATGGTAACTTATGATACTTTCCCTGTTGCTTTCGCCTGTCTGTGGGAAATACCTGCTTAGGATATTTTTGCTGTTACTGCTCTCCTCTTCTGGTTTATGATGTGGTCCCCTTCTCTCTGCATTCACTGTCCCCTAAGTATGACTCTTATTAGGTGAAGACTAATGGCCTTTTTCAGAAGTAGAGGTGTTACTAGACTAATGGAAAGAGAGCAGTGGTCTGTCAGGTATTTCAGAATCACAGAATCATTAAGGTTGGAAAAGACCTTTAAGATCATCAAGTCCAACCATCAACCCAACGCCACCATGCCCACTAAACCATATCCTGAAGTGCCACGTCCACACGTTTTTTGAACACTTCCGGTGGTGGTGACTCCACCACCTCCCTGGGCAGCCTGTTCCACTGCTTGACCACTCTCTCCATAAAGAAATAGTTCCTAATATCTAATCTAAACCTCCCCTGGCGCAACTTGAGGCCATTTCCTCTCGTCCTATCACTGGTTACCTGGAAGAGACCAACACCCACCTCACCATACCCCCCTTTCAGGTAGTTGTAGAGAGCGATGAGGTCTCCCCTCAGCCTTCTCTTCTCCAGACTGAACAACCCCAGTTCCCTCAGCCGCTCCTCATTAGACTTGTGCTCCAGACCCCTCACCAGCTTTGCTGCCCTTCTCTGGACACGTTCGAGCACCTCAGCGTCCTTCTTGTAGTGAGGGGCCCAACACTGAACACGGGATTCGAGGTGCGGCCTCACCAGTGTCAAGTAAGGGGGCACAATCACTTCCCTACTCCTGCTGGCCACACTATTTCTGATGCAGGCCAGGATGCTGTTGGCCGCCTTGGCCCCCTGGGCACACTGCCGGCTCATGTTCATTGCCTTTCTAATTTTCTCTCTGCGTGACCTAACGAGATCCTTGTACTCTACTTGAGTTTCCTTCCCCTTCTTCCAAAGGTGATAAACTCTCCTCTTTTCCCTGAGTCCCAGCAATATCTCCCTGTTCAGTCAGGCTGGTCGTCTCTCCTGCCAGCTTGTCTTATGGCACATGGGGACCACCTGCTCCTGTGCCTTTAAGAGGCTGCCTGACTTTCATTACTGCCTGACTCTTTATTCTAGAGGGTTTAGTACTAGTATTGACTCTTGGCCAGTTTTGAGCAAGTCCCTGTTGCTGAGATGTATAGAGCAGCTACCTAACATTCAGATGCATATTTACCTGCTCTGATTCATTCCCGCTCAGATGCTAGGTAGTTTAACTGAGAATTCTTCGGGACAGCTGACAACTGGCCTAGACAGACCAGTGATCTCCCAGAAGAAAATCTTGACTCCAAAAATAACCTTATTTTGAGGAGCCCAATTAATTTATACATCAGTATGTCCCTACCCACCAGAAGGTGACACTGATTTAAAAAGTAAAGATTGACCAGACGTGCTGGTAGTCACCTGAGTTGTGGATGGTGAGGAAGGTGTGTATGTGATGCACGAGTGCTTCTCAGGGTTCTGGTCTAGTCTAGCCTATGACTACCTAAGTGCACATCCAGTGATAAGCTGACTGTAGGTAAATCAGTAACATCGGTATTACTGCAGAATAGAAGAGTATTGAAGGTCTTACAGTTTGAAATCTGTTGTTTTTCCTCCTATTCTCCTTGATTTCTTTGCAGCACAAAACGTTTAATTGTTGATGTAATCCGCTTCCAACCAGGGGAGACACTGACTGAAATCTTGGAAACTCCAGCTACCTCAGAGCAAGTACGAAGTTGTTTACTTGCATTCTTTTTAGGGTAGGAGATTGTCATCTATCTGGGTATATGGGTGGGTATACTTGGGAATCCGCATTTATGTGTTGCAGTGAAGCTGTTTCCGCTGATGTTGGAGCAGTGTGTAACAATAATAAGGAGGGAATATAATGGAAATAAACCGTATATGTGAATCTTACTCCTCTGGTAGTTCCTAGAAACTGTTTATCTAGAAGACAGTTTTTAAACAGCAGATAGGCTTCTGCTGGTTCCTATACATGGAATGTGTTCCTCAAACATGGATTCATTGGAGTCAGTACGGGAATGACCAAGCAAAACTCTTTGTCCTATGTTATGCCGGAGGTCAGACAATTTCTTTCTGGTTCTTTGTCACCTTAAAATTGATCTGGTTATGAACTTGCAATTTTTTGTTTTTCCAGGAAGCGGAGCATCAAAGAGCTATGCAGAAACGGGCCATTCGTGATGCTAAAACTCCCGATAAGATGAAAAAATCTGTGTCTGTAAAGGAAGATGGCAACTTGAATCTTCAAGAAAAAAAAGATAAAATCAAGACAGGCCTGAAGAAGTTGACAGAACTGGGGACAGTGAATGCAAGAAACAAATACCAGGAACTAATCAATGACATTGCAAAGGTATGCCAATCAGTGGTTTCCTAGTAATCATAGCAGAGTTTTCCCACAGTTTGCAGCATTGTGAAACTGTTTTCAGGAGGAACAAGTTTTGTAGTAGCTAATTTTCAGACATGAAGCCTACCTTTTGCTGCAGCACTTCCACTTCTAGACATTTGGGAAGTCCTTTATATGACATTCGTGTTTTCTCAAATGACTCTGTTGCCAGAATCTCAGGCACTTCAAGGAAAAGTGTTATAGCTTGGAGAGGAAGTCCTGATGTGTGATCTCTATTTCTGCTCCTTTTCACTAATTTAAGTAGCACCTCTACAAACTTATTCACATGAGGAAGTTTTGCCTGTAACTTAAAGATATGCTAACCATTATTTTTATTTCAATGTACCCATGCAAGAATACCTAAATGATAAAGGAGGGAGCTGATTATTACAAAAATTTGCAAAAGTGATCTCATACTGTTGTACATTGCTACAATGACAATGTATTTTAGATCACACATTAACAAAAAACCCCCGCTATTTGGGAAATGTTATGTATGTAAAGTGAATAAGTAGTTGCCTTTAGTGATCCAATTAGAATTAATTGTACTGTCAATATGTATCAAAACTGAAAATAGAAGTAGACTTGAATATGTGATCTTTGTTTGTTCAGATGTTAAGGTAATGTATGCTTAAAGATGGCTGACTAAGAAAGATAAGGAAGTCTCTGCGCTGCTACGGTTATGATGCTTGATTTGTAAGATACCTTTCCTACCCAGGTGACAAAAATTGCTGCCTTACTTTAGATCATGTACTTTCGGTGCCCAGTCTAGCCATTGCAACTAGGACAGCATTGAAGTTTGAGAAAGCAACAAAAGGTTCAAATGAACTGCTGTGTAGAGTTGGTTAGTTCCAACAATAGTCAACACAGAAGAAGTGGTGATACTTAAACTGGGGCAAGTGCAACTGAGGGATCCAGCTTGTAGCATGAAGCAAGACTAAGCAAAATCAAATGGTGTCTTTCAAATACTCTGGGCGCTGGACCTGAGGAACTGGAGAGCTCGAATGACTGTTAAGTCTGTGCCTGTCTTTCTCTGTGGCATAGGATATCCGAAATCAGCGTAGATACCGCCAGAGAAGAAAGGCGGAGCTGGTGAAGCTGCAGCAGACGTACAGTGCCTTGAACTCCAAAGCTACTTTTTATGGGGAACAAGTGGATTATTACAAAAGCTACATCAAAACCTGCTTGGATAACCTGGCCAGCAAGGGCAAGTAAGTATCTCTGAGCCATGCTGTGGCCCTAGAAGTCCTTTTCACAGAAAACCTGTGTAGGTTGTTCCTAAGAAGAATCATAATGCCATCTGCTCAAAGCTCCTCATCCAAGCTCTTTACTGTAGTGATAGTTCTAGGGAGAGGGTCTCAGCAGTGGTGAGGAAAATACAGGGAAAGGACAGTGCCCGAAATGGGGTCAAAAAGACATACTTGAAAGAATTTTGGTCCCTCTGGGAGAGAGGAGTATAGAGAGTCCTGTGGGAATGAAGCACGTTGTTGCCCAGATAATGTATGTGCTGCTCAGTCAGTCTGTCCTGTTATCCTTTCTAGGAGCAGAGAATGAAAAATAACATAGTTACCTACCAGGAAATTATTGATGACCAACTGTCCTCTCTTTATCTTGAATGGAGTCAATTGTTGCAGTGCAAGGCAATTCAGATTTTCCTGGACAAAAGAAAGTCTGTTCCTCCCCAGTGAGATGCAGGAAGAGCAACTGCCAATGAAAACTGAGGCCAAAAAGTTGCTGAGTAATCTGTACTTTCTCCGTGGCAGCTGTCAGTAGATCCCCTTTTGTCTAATGGCAGATGGTACTGCTTTCTATCAACAGTACCATGTTGATACGTTTTGGGTTTGGTTTTGTTTTGTTTTTTTCTTCTCCTGCAGCGTAAGAGTTATTGGTAAATAGTGGAAAATCAAAGATCTGATCTGAGCTGCAAGTGCTTTGTACATAAGCTCACTAGGAGAAATACATCATCTGTCAGCTGCGTTTTGATGGGTGTACTGTTCAGTAGATGAGGAATTGGTTGGATGGCTGCACCCAGAGAGTAGTGGTCAACAGCTCAATGTCCAGATGGAGATCAATGACTAGTGGTGTCCCTCACGGGTCTGTACTGGGACCAGTACTCTTTAATATCTTCATCAATGACATAGACAGTGGGATCAAGTGCACCCTCAGCAAGGTTGCAGTCGACACCAAGCTGAGTGGTGTGGTTGACATGCCTGAGGGACAGGATGCCATCCAGAGGGACCTGGACAAGCTTGATGAATGGGCATCTGTGAACCTCATGAGGTTCAACAAGGCCAAGTGCAGGGTCCTGCACCTGGGTCAGGGCAACCCCCGGTATCAGCACAGGCTTGGGGATGAAGGGATGGAGAGCAGCCCCTGCCAAGAAGGACTTACGGGTACTGGTGGATGAAAAGCTGGACATGGGCTGGCAATACGGCCCACCGTATCGTGGGCTGCATCAAAAGCAGCGTGACCAGCAGGTCGAGGGAGGGGATTCTGCCCCTCTACTCCGCTCTGGTGAGACCCCACCTGGAGCACTGTGTCCAGCTGTGGAGCCCTGAGTACAGGAAAGGCATGGACCTGTTGGAGCAGGTCCAGAGGAGGGCCACAAAAATGATCAGAGGGCTGGAACACCTGTCCTCGGAGGACAGGCTGAGAGTTGGGGTGGTTCGGCCTGGAGAAGAGAAGGCTCTAGGGAGACCTTTTAGTGCAGCCTTCCAGTACTTCCAAGGGAGCCTATAAGAAAGATGGGGACAGACTTTATCAGGGCCTGTAGTGATTAGGACAAGGGGTAATGGTTTTGAACTAAAAGAGGGCAGATATAGACTGGATGTAAGGAAGAAATTTTTCACAATGAGGGTGGTGAAACACTGGCACAGGTTGTCCAGGGAGGTGGTAGATGCCCCATTCCTGGAAACACTCAGAGTCAGGTTGGACGGGGCTCTGAGCAACCTGATGTAGTTGAAGATGTCTCTGCTCATTGCAAAGGGGTTGGACTAGATGATGTTTAAAGGTCCCTTCCGACCCAATGATTCTATGATTTTATTATTAGCTATACTGGTTCTATCCCCTCATCCAAATAGGATTAAATGCTTGCTGTCTGAAATCTTGTTACTTGTTTGACTGATCTTGTTTGGTTGGTTGTTTTTTGTTTTTGTTTTTGTTTTTGTTTCCCAGAGTCTCTAAGAAACCTCGGGAGATGAAAGGCAAAAACAGTAAAAAGATTTCTCTAAAATATACAGCAGCTCGACTTCATGAGAAGGGAGTGCTTTTAGAGATTGAGGACCTCCAAGGTAACCAGTGAGTATCTTTTTAAAGCTCTTTAGAGCTAAGTAACCTTCTTGAAGGAAAACAGGTATGTTGAGTTCTTGTCTCTTTCTTTGAACCAGATCTAGGTGCTGGCAATTGAGGAATAGAAGCTCTGAGATCTGTTTGAGATTGTGACAGATTGTCTTGCACTTTCGTTCTTGAAATTTAGTGTTGTTGGTAGACTTAGCTATTAAAGCTGAAGAAATTGTTTTGGTGATCTAGGCTGGAATCCCCAGGGCCAAGAAACCTTGCTTTTCTCTCTTTCTTCTTTTTTTCTTTTTTTTTTTTTTCTTCCTGGTTGAAGCAAAGCAGGTCTTTGATTGAGAAGTGTAACAGGATTTAAAAAACATGACATTCTCTTCCTACTCGCCCTTTCCCTGTCACCCCCACAGTCATGGAAGCGTACCTCCTCTGTTGAATTGCTGTTGTGGTTAATAGTTCTCACTGTTGAAAAATCAACTTAACGCTGTCTTCAGTTTGTCCAGCTGCAGTTTGCTAGCTTTGAGAACTTGATGTATCTTCTGTGGAATATAAAGAAGCTGCCTGTTACTAGAATTTTTTTTCAACCCTGAATCATATTTTGTACTTTGTGCACTAAATGAGGTGTGGATGTGCAGCACTAAAGTAGACTGTTTAGATTGCACGGGCTAAATTACTCTGTTTCCTACTACGCTTGTGTGAACATGTGATCTACTAGACATAAAATCTGTTAGGCTTCCATTCATTGTTGTATTGAGTCTGGACGGCTTTTATGGTCTCATTCCAAATGGGGATATAAAATAAGGTGTTAAGAATAGAATTCTTAGAAATTTATCTTCAGATCTCATCTTACATATTCTCTCCCTGTTTCAGTAGGAATTACATGTCCAGTAATGAACGGTGGTTTTTTTATTTTTCAAATTTCATAGGTTTAAAAACGTGATATTTGAAATCGGTCCAACAGAAGAAGTAGGAGATTTTGAGGTAAAAGCAAAATTCATGGGGGTACAGATGGAAACATTTATGTTACATTATCAGGTAAGAACTGTCCTGGCGTAAGTTGCACTTGCCAGACTGCGTCAAAATAATAATGACATGTTTTCTGCCTGAACAGTCTGGAGAATGCTCTCAAAAACAACCCATTTGTTGCAGCCAAAACAGATGCAATGCAAATGGGGGGTTCAGACTACTTTTGTTTCTTTACTAATGAAAGCCTGATGTCAGTCTGTGTTCTTAGTTACACTTACACATACACACACACAAAACGAACACGTGCATTTTCAACAAGTTCCTGCTACAGTGGAGAGATTGGGAGTCTGTAGTAGTGGTCAGCTGGGCTTGGGCGTGGCAGCTTCAGCCGGTCATCATGTATCGGTATTCTTTCTGCCACCCTACACTTACTGGTTTCTTTAGCCATATGGTTCTTGGGAGTCCTCAACCTTTACTTGGGCCAGACTACTGGAAGGAACAGGCATACTGACTGACCTTTTCCCAAACAGTTCCCTGTTCTTCCTCCCACAGCAGTAGTGTTATGCCTGGTGTCTCTGTACCCTTCTTCCACTTCTGTCTCTGCCCACCCCTGACCCAACTTGGGTGTTGTTAGGCTTGTTAATTGTGGGTGCCTCAGGGGGTCTTGAAACAGACTGTGTGCAGGAGCACCTTGCATTGCAGTAAGTCCATGCAACCTCTGGCTGCTGGGAGGGACCGCTGCCTCGCGCATGCCATTCGTGTGCACTGAGGACTCCCCTAGTTCATTCTGGTCCTAATCCATTGGAGCTGGTCGAGAACTTCTTGGTTCATGGGGCTGGCTACCCAAGGTCACTCGCTGCTCAGGCACATGTGTTGCTATTCCACTATGCCTTTGTAGCACTGCTTTGCAGAAAAAGCAGGTGTTCTGAGAGGGCAGCAATGAGGGAGCTGCCATTGGTCATCCAAGTATAGCTTTAACAGTGGCATTAGTTAAAAAGACTTGCATTGCCATTGCCAAAAATTTTTACTGAAAGCAGCAGAAATAGCTTTATGATTGTTTACTCTAGCCTCACCTAGGCTGGCAGCTGCAGGAGGCAGATACGGGTTTTGGAATGCACACGTTTCCCTGCAGTAGCACTACCTGAATGCCTTCTCCAGTATGTATTGTTCAAGACTGGGCTTGCTGGAAGAAATTCATTACTGAGATAAATCAGTGCAGGGAGTCTTGTTGCTCTGTCAGGTGCGTTGCTGGCAAGAGCAAAGTGTAACGAGAAATACTTCCTACATAAGCACCGCAGAGACTGACTTGGCATCATGTACCTAGTTCTAACAGAGATGCCATTTCTTTCTTTGCCCTGGATTTCAGTGCTCTAAACCACCTCACTGAGACCTGTGGCAATTAAGAATTTCAGAAAGTGATGCTGTGGAATGTTGTAATGTTTCATGGGTACATAATAAGGCACATGGGAGACCCTTTCTAAATGTTACAACAACTTTATGGCTACTGTGCAAATGAAAAGCCTGGAGATAGCTAGATCTGAAGTTTGACTTTCTTAGGATGGTCTTCTGTTCCTGTCCTCTTTTGTAATTTTTTTTTTTTTTTTTAGTAAACACAGATTAAAACCTAAGATTTTAAATGCCTTAGAGCAACTTTGTCATGCAGTATGAGCAGATCTTTGAGTCTGTTATTTTTCTATCTTATGCCATGTACTTCATGATAAATATTACTCAGAAATCTACTGTACCGCAGGATCTTGTACATTCTATATACGCTCTTGAGGATTCTGAGCTCACAAAGGTATTCTCTTTGGTAGGATCTTTTGCAGCTGCAGTATGAAGGTGTCGCGGTCATGAAGTTGTTCGACAGAGCAAAAGTGAATGTCAACCTTCTGATCTTTCTCCTGAATAAGAAATTTTATGGAAAGTAACTGATCTCTGCTAGCAAGTCTGTGAAAGGGGAAATGAATATAAACCTGCACATACAGCTTTAAATGACGTAGCTATGTATCAGTATATGCCCATGCTGTGCTAAAATATATCAAATGTATCATGAAGGAGGACTAAGAACCTCTTGTGAATTGACAACCCTGATTGAGTCTGCAGGGAGTTGGTTTCTTGTTTATTTATGATCTTTATCTTCAACTTTGAAGGTCCCCTGAAAAGCAGTTAATTTAGAATGTATTTTAACATGGCGCTGGGGATTAAACTAATACTAGAGTATACTTAGGGCATCTTGATGCTTTATTTGCCTAATTATGTGCTTCATGAGGCTTGAATTCTTGTTGCCTATGCAAAGAGAAAGTCAGCACTGTACAGTGGTTGGTTTGCCTCTTCCTGAAAGCAAAAAAGGATTGCAGATTGTTTTCAGACTCCAATTATTCTCTAACAAAAATGACCAAAATAAAAAATGGTCAAGATCCAAGTTACCCATTTGTTTGCGAGCTTGGGAATCAGTAAACATCATAAATGGTTGCTAAACTATTTGTGATTATGTGCTATAGCCACATAGAACAGCTTTAGTGTCTCATTTTTCTTGATTTGTTTCTGTTTATCATACTGTAATAATTTACAGATGTCCCCTTAAATAGAGGGACCATGGAATGTATTTACTACTGCTTACAGATGAAAAGAAGCCTTTTGGGGAAGGGGATGGAAACTTAAAAAATTTCTTGAGACATGTTAACTTTTAATGTTGCTTGCAAAGCGTTTTTAATGTAAAAATACACCCCCCACCCTGGTTTAGAGCAATGTTTTATATATCTGTATCTGATGCAATAAATGTTAGGCTCTACCTGCAGACTTGTCAAAGGAAGACGACTATCTTAAATAGGTTAGCTTTTAAAAAGTTAATTTTTTCTCGCTATACTCGAAGTTCCCATTTCTTTTACTATTTGTGGTAGTGCTGGCTGTTCTGCTATATCCAATAAAAATGCAGAGACTCTTTAAAAAAAAAAAATCTGACCTTTAAATTTGTCAGTTGCTCCAGCTCTCCCCACAGTTTTTTTTCTTAATGTTTTTATTTTTTAAAAAAGGGTGTATCTTTTAAGAGCAAATTTCAAGTCACTGATAGGTCACTTGCGTTGTTTGTTCAGATTACTGAGCTTAATTGAGCTGCTTTATCTCTGATCTACGCTGAATTAGTTATTTTAGCTTAGATCTTTTTTTCTCATGAAAGACACTTACAGTATTTGAAATGGCTACATCCTTGAGGAAGACTTTTCTGCAGTCCTCTTGGAAGCAAATACTTATTTCTGTCTCTTGGTGTCTGACTTTATTTAAACATATTTTAATGTTGATGTATGCATTGTCCAACCCAGTAACAAAAATTACTTGCCAAACCCAAGAAAGAGCCTTATGGTCCGGATCATCTGAAATAGAGCGGGAGATTTCCACTGGAATCTGACACAGAGGTCTGAAATGGGATAAAGGTCTTGCCTTGGGTTTTTTTGTATTTGATTGGGTTGTGTTTTTGCTTTGGTTCGTTTTTTTTCCTGCCTCTGAATTTGCTATATTGTAGAAGGACTTAAAAATGAAATCCTTTGATTTGGGCATGAACAAATCAACATTTGTAGAATTGTTAATAGTGGAACTTTATAAATGATTGTTAGGAAAATGCATCTGTACTCTTGAGCCACAGGGTTTAATCATCCCCTACGCTTTTTTCTAAAAAAATGAATACTTTTAATACTTTTTTTCTGCCAAGTAGATTTCAACTATAACCCAATTGGGATTTGGGGACAAAGTAATGAGGTGTTGCAGGCCAGTATAGTTACCTGTGGGGAAAGCATCCTTACTATGTGATTTACAGTAATTCCCGTGTTGCCTACACCTATTGAAAAAACAGGTTTTTGGCAAAAATTGGAAAAAAAACAAAACCCAAACAAAAAAAACCCCAAACAAATTGATTCTTTGAAAATAATCTTAAAAATGGGAATCTACTAATTTTAGCTGAGCAACAGTATGGAACTGTGGAAGGTTTTCTAAAAGGAAAAGCTTTATTTAAAGATTGAATCTCAGTGCTTAATTATATGTATTTTATAATTTATTTGTGGCTTAGCTTTGCTTACTCCATTACACTACTGGATCTACCATGGGAGTAGCTACAAGTATGAAGTGTGTCTTCTTTCTTTCCTGTTGAAATTTGCCTTTAACTCAAGTAATTTGTCCCCATGGGTGTTGTGAGAACTCCTGACTGCAGGCAGCGGCCACGAACACGCAGCTGGGCCCGAGGCACAGTGCAGCATGGGAAACCACCGTGGCTCCAGAGTTCTCCCACCTCCCCTGTGAGCCACTCCTGGCCTTTCTGGTGCGTGCAGGGATGGCCATAGTGTGATGAAACATAACGGATGACATGACACAACCGGGGTGGAGGTGTGGACCTCTCCACATCACTGCGTGCACCTCGCCCTGGGGACCTCCCTGTGACCTCCAACCCTCCCAGAATGCTCTAGCCGCATCCTAGTAGGATGAGCACAAATCAACCCTTGACTTCTCCTCTTTCATGCTGTTTTTTTTCTAGCAGAGCCCTTGATTTCTGAGTCTGCAAGGGGGGGTGGGGTGGGCGAGGAAGCCCAATCTGGGGCTCGGGAGAAAGGCAAATCCACCTGGATTTATGCAGCCGGAAAGCAATTAAAAAAACATTTTCATGGACAAAACTAAAAGCAAAAAGCACCAATTTTTAGGCTGTGGAAAAGAGCTGAAAAAAAACCAAAGTTGAGTTTTGGAAAAATGAAAACCCACAATTTTTATGTCACAGAAAAGCAAGACACCCCACGCCAAATTTGGGGAAAAATTTGGGTGAAACACTAGGGGTTATCTGGCATGGGTCAGTTATCCAGAGTGGATTATCTGTTGTACATTATCTCTGAGTTACCTGCTGTGGATTATTCCTGGTGGGCTCCCTGATGTACGTCATCCCCATGCATGTTCCCTTATGCGCATTTCTTTCCACATGTTCCTTCCCCCCCACCCCCCGCCCTTATT